TTGAGATTGTTGTTATTTAGTTACTAAGTGTGTCCAACTCTTTTGCGACCCCATGGACTGTAGCCCCACCAGGCTTCTCTGTCCATAGGATTTCCCAGGCAAGAATCCTGGAGTGGGTTGCCGTTTCCTTCTCCAGGGGATCTTCCCGACCCAGGAATGGAACCCATGTCTCCTGCATTGGCAGGTGGGTTCTTTACCCCTGAGACACCAGGGAAACCCAGTTAAGAGATAGTTCTTTAGATTTCCTCTTCAACTTTTGTAAGGAAGGAGTCAATATATTTTTATAGATACGATTTAAAACTTTTACCCACATGTTCCTCATTTGTGCCTTTTCCAACTGCCAACTATTTTTCTCATTTTTGCATGTGCATTCTACTTCCCATTTACAAGGCCTATAGACATCACTGGCCCAGCCTGTCAGTTTTCCAACCCTGCTGTAAAGTTAGTCTTCTTCCTTAGCCAAAGGGAGAAACTTCCAACTAACTCCTATATCTTAATGAACTTGTTCACAAAAGGCATGTTTCCCATTTCCCCAAATTTCTAGGTTTAGACTTTCTTAATTGAAATTATCAGGTGTCCACAGAAATCTGGTGCCATCACCACAATAAAAAAGTGATTGGATACCTTCCCACCAAGCCTCCTGTTTGGGTGATGAGCTCAGTGTTTGTTGAATGAATCAGTAGTCCAGTGCAAGTAATTACTATAGTATGGTTTATTTCAGCAAGGAAATGTACTTGTGTGTCTATGTGTGTAGTATGGAGTATAATCAGTAGGCTTCTTATAAAGTCATAATAATTCCTATCAAAAAGATTTGAAAGAAAAACCCCAATTTCTGTCTTACATTTTGTGAGTTTGGAAACCGGATAGCTATCATTGTTAAAAGTTTATGAAAGGAAGAAGTCACACCCTGTGGTAAACTTTGTAAGAAATATGCAAGACCTTTAAGAAGGAAACTAAAATTGCAGAGAGGTTATTCGGTTGTCCAGACTCATTGAGCTGAACTTCTCTTAAGAACTATGTGCTATCTTTATATGAAATTCCATCTTAATTTAACAAAAAAGAAAAACATGCAAAGAGGGATATAAGATGAGATTTAAGTGGAAATGGAAAGGACATTTGGATGGGAAGAGGCAACAGTATGAAGATGTCAGTTCTCTCATAGTTAATTTACAAATTTAATGCCACCCAAATAAAATTCTAGTAACAGTTGTGTGTATATGTGTATTTTGTATATGTGTGTGTGTGTGTGTGTGTGTGTGTGTGTGTGTGATGTATATATAAAAGCTAAAGAAACTGATTATAAAACATGCAAAAAATAAATAATGAAGAATAGTCAGAAAAAAGAGAAATGAGAGTGACTAACCCTGGCACATTAAGACGTACTATAAAACTATAGTAATTAAAACAGTGTGATACTGTCACATGAACTGTTAGTTCAAAGACACAGAATCAGAAGTCCAAAAATGGACCCAGTTATATATGAGAATTTAGTATATAGTGAATACTGCATTTCAGATTTATGGAGAAAATATGGAGGATTCAGTAAATGTTACTGGAACAGCTGGAAAACAGTTAAATTGAATCCATAGCCTTTTCCTTATGCCAAAATAAATACTCAAATAAGTCTAAGATGAAACCCATAGGTGAGGATAGAGATTAACTAGATTAACATTAGTGGATAATATGTTCAAGCTGGGTGTTAGGTACATGAAGGGTTCATTGTACTATCATGCATACATTTTATGTTTGAAATACTCTGTGATTAACAGTTTAAAAGATGAAGTTAGTTACAATACTTAAGGAAACATGGGATTTTAAAGTATCTTAAAAGTATCTCTATCATCTTTCTAAGTATGATAGAAAAATGAAAGGTTGATACATTTTCCTTTATTCATTCAGTAGACGATCAGCACCTTTAAAAAAAGGCACTAGAAGGAAAATGAAGGAACAAGTGAAAACTGGGAGGTTTTCTAACTTGTACTACAGAGAAGACCTAATTTTCTTAGTGAAAAGTAAGTGTCAGTCACTCAGTTGTGTCCACCTCTTTGTGACTGGCGTGGGTAGCCATTCCCTTCTCCAGAGGATCTTCCTGACCTTGGATTGAACCCAGGTCTCCTGCATTTCAGGCAGATTCTTTACCATCTGAGCCTTCAGGGAAGCCCAGTTTTCTTAGAATGTAACAGTATCCCACAATTCCATTTAAAAAATTATCCTACAAGTTTATTAAAGGATAGAAGCTATTCACACCTTTGGAAAATCCCATAGATGGAGGAGCCTGGTGGGCTACAGTCCATGGGGTCACTATTCACACTCAAATAAATATAAATTAATACTCTTCTTGGGGGCTTCCTTGGTAGCTCAGTAGGTAAAGAGTCTGCCTACAGTGCAGCAGACCCAGGTTCCATCCCTGGGTCAGGAAGATCCCCTGGAGAAGGAAGTGGCAAGCCACTTCAGTATTCTTGCCTGGAGAATCCTACGGATAGAGGAGCATGGAGGGCTACAGTCCATGGGTCCAAGAGTCGGACACAACTGAGTGACTAAACCACCACCACAACACTATTCTTAATCTACATTTGCTAGATTGGCAATATCAGAATCTTTCGATAATACACTGTGCTTGTGAGGGTATGGGAAACAGGGACTCTCAGTGATGGGTAGTGGTGGTATAAATGGGTACTGCTTCTTTGGAGAGTAATTTGGAAACATCTGTCAAAATAAAAATTGTACTTCCTCTCTGACTGAACAGTTCTAGGAATTTATCTTACAGACAGAACTTGTACATACACCAAATGATGCATGGACAAGGATATTTGATGCAGGACTGAGGATAGGAAGAGATAGGAAACAACGTGGATGTCCATCAGTAGGGACAGAGAGAGTGTTAATTCTTCCGTTGGAATGTACTGCGGCCTTGATAAATTATGATGCAGCTCTTAAACTGATTTTGAATGACTTTAAGATATTTTATTTTGTATTGGGGTCTAGCTGATAAACAATGTTGTGACAGTTTCAGGTGAACAGCTAAGGGACTCAGCCATACACACACATGCATCCATTCTCTCCCGAACCCTGCTCCCGTCTAGGCTGCCGCATGACATTGAGCAGAGCTGCATGTGCTACACATTAGGTCCTTGTTGGTTATCCCTTTTAAATATAGCTGTGTGTACGTGTCCATCCCAAACTCCCTAACTACCCTTTCCCCTCATCCTTCCCCCGAGCAATCATAAGTTCGTTCTCTAAGTCTGTGAGCCTCTTTTTGTTTTCTAAGTTCAGGTGTATCCGAATGACTTAAAGATATTTTAAGAGAAGTAGGAACACAGCATATACCATGCCATCATTCGTGTGTAGAAGTTTATAGGCACATCTCTGCCTGCATGCACATGTACAACAGTCTCTGGAAGGTACAAAGACAGTCTCTGGAAGGATGCATAAGAATTAGTACAAATTCTCTGGAGGAGAACTGGGTACCTGGGTGGAGGAGGGAGGAGCCTACTTCTCATTCTCTCCACATGTACTTGGAGAATTTTGTCTTGTGAGTGTGTATTACTTATTCTAAAATGATTTTTTCAGTAAAGTTTTTTCCCCTCTTTTAATCTGTGCGCGTTTAAGCCCTTCTGCTTCTTCTAGTGAGTAAAGCTGTGGAGCATGGCTCCCAGGGCGGCTCTTTTGACTGCTGAGAGGCCTTTCTTTTGAGCCTCCGTCTCAGCCATATTCTGGAAAGAGAATCTGGTACTAAACAACTGCATTCCGGTTGACAGGTGGTGTTGTGTGCCAGTGAGGGCTCACTACTAGGTGCTGTTTAGAGGCAGGCTCAATATTTATGATGTTTAAGTGGATTTGTGAGTAGCATTGTGGAGAGCAAGCTCTCCCTAAATCACAAAGAGAAATGTTAGTCAACAGGACTTGGGACCAAATGTTTGTTAGCTGGAGGGTTTTTAAATATGTGAGCTTTCAGCGGAGGCAAACTTGCTTCTCTCAGAAGTCAGACTGGTCAAAACTGGATCTGTTGCAGGAAGAGGTATGCCTACTAGGACCCAAGACTGAGCTCTTGTCTCAGACTGGGAAGTGAATTGTCCGAGGAGACACACATGCTGAGAACGCCAGAGACTTCACTGGGAAGGGGCTCCCGGGTGAAGAGCAGGGGGCCAGGGGACCCAGCGGCACTGCTCTGCCATGTGGCCTGCAGTCTCAGGTTTATGCTGATGAGATTAGCTTCTGGGTTGTCTCTGGCCAGTCATTAGGACCCAGGGTCCTTCCTGGTGGAGCAAGCATTGTTCAGCCAAGATGGGTTCCAGCGAGAAGGATTCTGGGAGATTGGTAGGACATGTGGCATCTCCTTTTGACCTTTCCCAAATTCTTCCAGTTGGTGGTGGCTTGTTCTGTTTTCCTTACTAGGATCTTCTGTTGTAAAATCATGCAGATGGTTACTGTAGTGCCTGACCAGGGTGGGCGGTTTCTGTCAGTGTTTCCACTAACAGAACCTTAGTCCCCTGACCACATCTTCTGAGCCTGTATCCTAGCCTCTCTGAATCCTCCTGGGTTATTGTGCGGATGAGATGATGATGAAACAGAACACTGACAGCTAACACTAGCCCCTATGTGACTGGCACTGCACTGGGGGCTTATATACTTCATCTCTTTTCATCCTCACCACATGGCAATAAGAAGATGCATTGCTACCCCTCCTTTTTTTTTTTTTCTAAGGCTATGTAATTTATTGAGACCACGCAGCTGGATATTTGTGGAACCTGAATTTTTAACCCAGCTCCAGCACAAAAGCTCTGTGTTCTAGCCCTGTCTCCCTAGTGCTTTATGTAGCGTATATTTAGTAGGCACTCACTATGTACCTGTTCACTGCTTTCCCTACAGTGATGAGAGCAAAATGTGACTTGGATTATTGCTGTGACCCAAAGTAACAATTCAGTTGTCTTTGAGGAATCTCACCAAATGTGAAACTAATAAAAGTACTGGTAAAAAGTGGATTTTTTTTTTCTTTCTAGACAAATGAACTTGTGTTGAGTTTGGAAGATGATGACAGTCTCCTGTTAAAAGAAGATAGCACCCTGAGAGCAGCTGGAATCGGTGAGAAAGTGTGTGTGTGTGTGTGTGTGTGTGTGTGTGTGTGGAGCTGAAGGGGGTACTGGCTTTCCCGGCCTGGATGGCAATGTCTGGCTGATTATATTTGGACAACTCAATGCAAAGTAAATGCTACCCTTGGTGCTCTTTACACTACCTGATAATTATTCAGAGGGGAAGGACAAGAATGATGTACATTCAGATCATTTGGCTGAGGGCAGTAGATATCTGCTCTCCCAACGTTCAGCATGCAAATAGTTCTTTCGAGAAAGTATGCTCAGAATTCTGCTGAGGGCTATTTTAAGTGATTGACAGGTTATTACTCACTTAATAACCTACTTACTCATATCAGCTTCATTTGAGCTGATAGTTTAAGAGAAAAGGGCCCGATAGAAGTATCGTGGAATAATGAAGTGAGATGTTGTTTGTATAACAGGCAGCGTGGTTTCTGATAGTTATCCAAATCACTTCGAGCCGACCAAGTCATGGAATTTCAAATAGGAGCCTATGGTGTGCAGTTGAAAAATTGCCTGATTTAACCTTTCAATTTGGAATATGCATGCAGTTTTATTTTAAAGGAATGCTATGTGACATGTGTTGTGACCATTAGATGTCACTGTAATTCTGCTTACATGTGTACTTAGAGATGATGTGGCAGTACAGTGAAGGTTTTGAGGGAAGTGTGAGCAGTTGAAGGCCTCTGACAAATCACACTTTCTAATTTTTTGTATGCACTGGTTAAGGGACACTAGGGTTCATGAGGTCCATGTTAGGAATCCTTAAATTGTTTTGGCAGGTGTTTAATTGTTGTCTCATCTGCCAGGAATTCATTTTTAAATGACACATGTGGTTAAAGTGGGCTCCTGACATCGCTAACTTAGATATGATTTTGAATGCCATGTTACATCATCTCAGACTTGTTTTCTGTGTCTAAGTCTATACTCTTGGCTAGATTTAGTGTCTTTCCGTATTGTGACTACATAAGATTGATTGCTCTTATTTGAAAAAACAATGTTTAATTTGGCCTTTATTTCTTCTTAATTTGGTGCTTATTTTGTTACAGCAGGTAGCACTTAACTGCTTATTAAGCATAAAACTATACTTGACTGGTATTGATACAGGCCAGAGGAGGCAATGGCACCCCACTCCAGTACTCTTGCCTGGACAGTCCCATGGATGGAGGAGCCTGGTAGGCTGTGGTCCATGGGGTCACTAAGTCAGACACGACTGAACGTCTTCACTTTCACTTTTCACTTTCATGCATTGGAGAAGGAAATGGCAACCCACTCCAGTGTTCTTGCCTGGAGAATCCCAGGGACGGTGGAGCCTAGTGGGCTGCCATCTATGGGGTCGCACAGAGTTGGACACGACTGAAGCGACTTAGCAGAAGCAACAGCAACAGCATTGATACAGAAATCGACAGCTCCATGGAAAAGACTGGAAAATTAAAAAACCAACTAAAAAACAGTTTCATGGTATGAAAAAATTTTGACATCTCAAATAAGTGGAGAAAAGAATGAATTAGCCAGAAACTGTTGGACCCATTGCCAAAACATTTGAGAAAATAAAACTTAAGTTCTTAGTTCTTATTCTAAAATAAATTCTATATAGATTAAATGTTTGCAATGTAAAAAAGTTTTTAGGTAAAATGTAGGTCAGTAGTTTCATAATCTTGGGGAGAAGAGCTTTCTAAGCATGCCCTTGAAGCCAGAAGCCATAAAGCAGGGAGAAATGATAGATTTGACCACATAAACAGAGTTAAAGCCAAAGCAATAAATTGTGAAAAAATATTTGCAGCATATATGACAAAGAAAGCCTGACTTTATAAAGAGGTCTTATAACTAGTATAAAAAAGAGAAATAAACTACTGATAGAAGAAATAGCTAACATAAATAGTTCAGCCCTATTAGTAATGAGAGCAATATATATGAAAATAGAGACTGAATTTTATGTAGTTTACTACTCTAGTGATTAAGAATTAGAGGCTGAAGTCAGAGTGCTTGGGTTAACAGCTTGACTACCACGTACTGTCTGGGTGACCTTGGGCAAGCAATAATTTAAGACTAGCAGACACGAAGAACAGCGGTTGTATCTGAAGGAATTTTAAAAAATGGATGTTCCCTTGTACTACTTTTGGGAAGGTGTATTACCTCTAACTTTGTTGATCAATTTGACCAGTAAGACTTTCTCAAACTTACTAAGTCATTTTCTGTCATATCTATTACCAAGCCAACAGAAATATGCTTCTTCAAGTCTGTGACTCCTCCCAGGTTGTGATACACATTCAGAAGTGTTAGCTCTCACCTTCCTGGTTTGAGATGCATTGATGTAGAGCTTTATTGAATGGAAATAGAAAATGTATTGTGTGATACCATTATTATTTTTAAATGTATTTACATGTCTGTATATGTATATGAAGAAGAGATCATATACTAAAATTATAGAAATGGTTTCCCTGGGTGGTGGCATTGCCAGCAATTATTGTTTGTTTGTTTGTTTTTCTCCATTTTATCTAATTGTTCTTGTAATTTAAACTTTCTTGTATAATTTATATGTGTTACTTATAAAGTAAGGGCCCAATTTTAAGGAATCAACTCCTAAATTTAGGGAAAATTGGTTTGAATGACGGCTCTGCATCTGTGACCTTCTCAAAGCCATTTACACTCTCTGAACTTCCACTTTGATTTCTGTAAAATGAAACAAATAATAAACGTATTTCAGAGGGTTGTCATAGGGTTAAATAAAAGAATGTATATGAAAGCATCTGGAGCAATGCATGTAAATGCCCTCAAAAACACTTCATTTTATTTGGAAACCATTTTGGAGAAAGCAGTTGGCAAATGTTTTGAATTTGTTAAAATCTCAAGTTGTTGGTTTAATTGTCATCAATTTCAGACTTATATAACAACCACCTATAAAGGTATAAATCAAATCACTTTTTTTTGGGTCGTTCTTGTGTTAAGGCCATGTATATCTTCGATCAGAATTGGATCGTTTTCATGGGTTCTCCACTGGTGTCAGGTTGTTACTTCAAACTGTTCTCATGCCCTGGTTGAGGGTGTCTTCCATCCCTGTTGGGAGCAACCCCCTCTTCTGCGTGTCCCCCTTCGTTGCTGAGAGCAGTGTTTCTGCTCGCTTGAGAACAAGCCACAGTTATTACACATGGGGAAGGAGGTGATGGCCCCAGGAGAGGAACAAAAAATTCTCAGTGGGAGTAGAGTTGTAAAAGCAGTACTTGAAATGTGTGATTTTTCTAGGGAATTTTCCCTCCTTTGGTGCTGTGCCTGGTTAGGTTTTTAAGAGGCTTTAGGACAAAAATTCTAAGTCATCGCTGTCTCCCTCCTCACCACTTGATCTAGCTGTAGAGCTGTCTCTGTGCCATCACGGCCAGTTGCCATGGGAATAAGGCCAGTGTAACAAATGTGTCATTGTGACTTTTCTGTAAAAATCATGAAAGGAAAAGAAAGCCTGTGAGGGGGGAAATTAGGGGAACAAACTGGTTTGAAGATTTCTTTTCTCACCGAGAAATTCTCTAGCCTTTTATCTACATTGCTGATCCCAATTGTATATTCTACGCTTGACGTCGGGGAATGTTTTTGCTTGTGGATTTAGTCCTAAAATACATCAATAAAAGGATTTGTTTTGTGGAAGAAGGAAGAAGGCCTTACCTAGAATTGTTATTTATAATTTAAAGATCTTGTTGTTAACAGTTGTGGTTTTATGGACTAATTCCCCTAAGTGATAAATTTTCATGTTAAATATTTTTGGGGTTATATTTTATCTCTTTCATCTTGCTGCATTCTACTATTGCTATCTTTTGAATCTTCTCTGGTTTAGGAAAGAAACTGAGATAGGGTAACTCTTCTGAAGTCAGTTTATGTTTTACTGGAAATATTTTAAAACAAGACACGGTCTGGCAAACTGTAAGTGCTCACCTCTGGGAAGAGTGCGCATCAAGCCACATCTTGTAATAATTCCCCGATTCCCTTGTGGTTTGTTTTCACTTTCTGTGTCACTCCCCTGTCGTCTGCCCACAACCGAAACCCAGTCTTGGTGCCCGACCCCTCTTGGTGATCTTGGCTAAGCAGCTCAGATTGTAGGATTCCTTGGCTCCACTTCTTTAACCAGGATCATATATGATTAGTGTTTCCTGAAGGTTTGAGTCCCTCTCCCATTCTCTTTTAGGTAGTAATATCTTGGGGCATACATGCTTTCCTGCTTTGACAGCATGTTTCACTGGCTGTTCATGTTAACATTAGAGCAGCAACGATCTGGTGCTTGATGAAATAGGTGGCAGGCCCAGGGAATTTGGGATCCCAGAGAAAGAAGATCAGAAGGAACCTCCCAGACAAGATTCTTCCCTTTTTGCCCTCCCCTCGGGCTTCCCTGGTAGCTCAGATGTAAAGAATCTGCCTGCCGATGCAGGAGACACGGGTTTGATCCCTGGGTCAGGAAGATCCCCTGGAGAAGGGAATGGCAACCGACTCGAGTATTCTTGCCTGGAGAATTCCATGACCGAGAAACCTGGAGGGCGACAGTCCACGGGGTCACAAGGAATCGGATACGACTGAGCGACTAACACTTTCATTCTGCATGCTGATGTGGAATCACAGTGTCCAGTCTCTCAAAGGTCAGACTCATTTCTATATTTGTTTTCTCCAAACTATAGTTTGAAATCTTCTCAACCAGCTTGAAAACAGATTCTCAAGTAAATAAGAAATAAAAGACACACGGTTGTTTGGAACTACTTGTTGGGTTGTTGACCTCCTTTGGCGAAAAGTCAGAAGTACAGCACAGCTGTGGGCGTGGTTTTGGATGATTCGTAGATTAGACTTTTGTGAAACTTGCAGGGAGGAGTCCTGGACCAGGCGAGACAGTGAAACTGTCCTTTCGGTGTCAAATTGCTGCAGAAATCACACCTTGCCCTTCCTGGCTTTTTTTGTTTTGCCAATAATCTGGAGTTGTTATTCACATTTCAGCCTGCTCTGATCACTAGTTGTACTACAGCCAGGACACATGTCTCAGCCTCTTTTCTCAGACGACCGTTGCTGTGCTGCAGGCGACTTTGATATGAGGCTCGGGATTTAGAAGCCATACAGTAAATCCTTGTTGATAGATGGGTTTATTGAAATAAGTTAGTTAAGGAGTTTAGGTACATTATACTCAACTTTCCTGAGATTTCTACATTTAAAATTGTTTTTCTTCTTTTTTAAAAAAATTTGAATTTATTATTTTCCCATTCAAGGTGTATATATGTGCATTTTATAATGGAAAGAAACATTATAAAATTCTTAATCATTAATTTCATATCCAACATTTGAATGTCCTGGCTTGTGTTTGTTTCATTAAACTTGACAGTCAGTATTAAAATGACCCACAGATGTATTTGGCGAGCCCTTACATGGTTTCATTTGCTAGTCAGACAAAGGGATGAGCTGGTGGTGTATTTATTGGATTTGAGAAGCACATTCATTTCACATTCTCATGCCAAGGCACCGTGCACCTGAGTGCACTGCCCCGCAGCACATTTAATTTAAAATCAGGTGCCCTAGGGGACCAGCATGTGGCAGACTTCCTGAGGTTCTTCTGGAGCCATTTTAAATAGAATTGGGCATGATGGAGGAAAGGGTGATTACGTAGAGGTCTTGAAAATCTTTTGTAATTTGTTTTCACTGTAATTGGCAAGCAAATCTGCAGTCTAAATACGTGAAATCATTGTCTCAGACGTTTTTCAGTCGGGTTCTGTAGATATAAGGAAAGACATTATCTTCTGTTTTTGTTTAAGGACCACATTACCAAAGTTTAAAATCCACCTTATGTCTTTCTTCTGAATGTTCAAAGCGGCTAACTCCTAATTTGTGTGTTATTCTCCAATTTGTTAAGGGTGAACATTTTTATCAACCTGGACCATTTGAGTTTAACCCGTTTGTCAATGTAGTTTTCCTGAAAAAAAAGTCATTCATCTGAAAATAAAATCTTTACCTTAGATGACCTCATTTTTAAGCCCGTAGTATATAAATAATGGATTGATCTATAACTTAATTAGACCCAGGAGAACTTATGTGTCAAAACAGAAATGCTTTGTCAGTTCTTTCTATACATTAATTTAATTCTAAACCTATTACTGGTATCCTGAAGAGCCGTAAGATGTACTAGTTTCTCAAAAGGGGTATACAGATAAATGTCAATTGCAGTAAGTGAAAATTGTAATTACAATTAGTGTGTATTGAGCGAAGTGCTGTGTGGGCAAAGCACTGTGTAAAGTTCTATATGTAAATAGCACATTGTGTATGAAATTTTGCACTGTGATTCTTAAGAACAGGGGACTTTTGCTTATTTTCCTAATATCAGGAGGAGGATATTAGAATCACTTGCAAATTATGTAGGTCTACCTTTGGGCTTACTTCTCTTCAAAAAAGGAGCTCTTTATATAAAGGATAGATCTCAGAATATCTTCTCTTTGAATACTGAATTTTTTGAAGCCACCTTTTCAACATTTTACTAATTCCCAGTATAGAGGTCTTAGCTTTTAATTTAAATGCCATTTTCTTGTAATATTTAACTGTACATTAACTTACTGTTTGCCCAGGGTGCATTTGTTTACAGCCCCTCTCATCGATTCCCAATTTCTTTCGGTTGTGTCTTCCTTGCTTGCCTACACACACACACCCAGGCTTATTGTGACAAGAGTTCCTGGTCTGATTTTTATCAAGATTAATCTTCATTTAATCTTGAATATTTTATAAAAGGGCTGGAATGAGGATCTGAGACACTGGGTGATTTTATTTTCTTCTTTCAACATTTCTATATTTTCTGTAAAGACCACAGGAATTTAGGTTTGAGAAACATCAAATTTGGTATACTTAAAACCAGCAAAAACATTTTAAATGAAATGTTATGCTAAGCTCTTTAATTTCATTCTTCTGTGATAAATTCTAATGAAGAGATGAGCGCTTTAAACTGGGAGACCAGTGGTAATCCTTGGCATCCTTCCTTATTATCCTATTTATTTGGCTTGAGGAGTTTCACTTGTCTGTTTTTAGAGAATATGTTAATTGAGTGATCAGTATTCATTACAAATAATCTTGTCTGTTTTCTTGTCAAGATTCTAAAGGCCCTTTTGCTCTTTCTGTAAAAGCTAAGCAGGCTGTATTAACTTCTGATTTAATTTAAAAAATGGGAACTTGTTGGCGCAACACCTTAAAGAATTGCATGTTTAATAATTGGAAGGCTTTCCATCAGATTTGTCTCCAGTCTGAATTAATAATGTTGCTGACTTATTGTTTTAGAAGACAGAGTCCTTGACCTGCTAGGTTGAAAGAATTGTGACTGCTCTGAACCTTTGTGGGTCCTTTAGCTGTGCCATATCCCTTGTGAATAATTAGAGGTATTTGAAGGTATTGCGGTAGAAGCCAATTTGTGTCTTTCACTTTGCATATTGTTGAAGCCTCATGAATTAGTCATAAGCAGGCAAAAAATTAACTTCTTCAGACACATATTTTGATGGGTCATGAGGGAGAATGTAAAGTGATCTGTAAAATATTCTACTGATCCTCTAAGTATTAAATTATTATACCTACAGGCTAATTTCAGAGGGGGGAGAAAAGAGTTTTCCTCTTCCTTCAAGAACAGAGTAACACATTTGGAAAAAAAAAATAATGGCTTATTATTTCTAGGATTGTCAAGAGGACTATAAATGAACAATTTTATGATTTCTTGAAAACCAGATTCATGTGTTAACTCTTGTTTTTAATTTTTTTGGTTATTTTTCTTTTTACTTTTAAATTGGTTGAATTCTAGATTCTCGTACTTAAACTTCTTGTTGATTTTGTGAAATGTGAAACCAAACTCGCTTTTCTAACTTTAGGCCTTGGAAGCACTGAATCAATGAAATATGGATTTCCATACTTATTTAAAATCTAGTTTTACATTAAACAATTTTTTCCATTTTCTGTTTTTCTTTTTTTTTTTCAGCCAGTGAAACTGAAATTGCATTCTTCTGTGAAGAAGACTATAAGAACTACAAAGCTAATCCCATTTCATCCTGGTGAAAACCTCACAGAGCTTCCTTTTTTGCATACTTGTATTAAGCTCTTTATTCCACTAGTGAGTTTCTGAAATTGACAAATAAACTTAAAAAAATTAATCCCAGCCTCTGCCATTTGAGGTAAAATCTGTGGTGTGTTCTCTCTTGTGCAGGTCTTATTTCTTTCTTTCTTGTTGTAAAATAGTGTATTCATTTATAGGGAAAACTGGTTTTAAGTGAAAGAAATAATTGTTCAAAAATCACCATGGAGTGTTGGCTCTTTAGTTATAATTTGTTTCTCGAAATTAGAGGTCATTTTGGTGACTTGCATGTTGGATTCTTTAAAAAAGATTATAAGACTAAGGGCATTCTCTTTTATTTTGCATTTTCTCCCAGGTTTCTAATTAGAGCCCCTGTTACTATCTTTGTTTAGTAGGGATTCTTATGACCATGAATGCCGTCTCTTCACTCACTGTGATAAACACCACCACACGCGAAACCAAATTGGGTATATTTTAGGGAGGTTTTCTGATATAAGAGAGTTTCTTCTTTCTTTTCATGTTACAGCCCACACAAATAACATTGCCGAAATGTGTTTTTCTGAGCTATGTTTCCTGACTTCAGGAGCAAACTATAATAGAATCAAACTCATTTATTTGGCGAGAGGAGGTAGCAGAGAGTTTACACTTCTGGGAGAAAATTGTCCATTGAGAACAAGTCTAAGTCATGGATGATACATTCTTTCAAAATAATATAATACTTTGATGTCTGACTACCAGCATCTGAAGAATAGTGGATTCAAGGGGCCTCTCAGCCAGCGTGTATCTAATCAGAACTCTTAAGAGAGGTTAGTTGACTCTAGAATTGTTCCCTGAAGCCTTAAATTGCTAGTAAGGCTTCATTGTGGTGAGGCTAATATAAGAAAATCTATTCTGCTAAAACAAACAAACTAACAAAACAAAAATCAAACTTGAAAATCTGGTTCACATAGCCAGAAGCTGCATTGCTTTGTTTAAAGGCAAAGCACTTGGAGCATAGAGGGAGAGATAAGGGCAGAGAGTCCATTGAGCGAGGCCTTATAAGTCATGCTGGGGAGTTGGAACTTTACATAGTAGGTAGTTGGGAGCCAATGGGAAGATTTAAACAGGTAAATTATATGATTAGATTTGTATATTAGAAAGTAAGCTTTGGCAGCAGTGTCCATGTGGCAGAGAGACTAGAAGACAGTTGTCCTAGACCAGGTGAAGGTTGGAAGGCCTCAACCCGGGACCCGGCTGAGGGGAAGGGAGAAGAGGAGACCTCTCTGAAGTAATGCTAACCTTTGGTGTGTTAGCTGTCTACATGTGTTATTTAATTTTTATCACAGCTCCTTGAAGGGCTTCCCAGGTGGCACTAGTGGTAAAGAACCCGCCTGCCAATGCAGGAGACACAAGAGACACGGGTTTGATCCCTGGGTCGGGAAGATCCCCTGGAGGAGGGCATGGCCACCCATTCTAGTATTCTTGCCTGGAGAATCCCCTGGACAGAGGACCCTGGTGTGGGCTGTGGTCCAGAGGGTGGAAAAGAGTTAGACATGACCGAAGTGATGTAGCATGCACAGCTCTTTAGTCTTGATAGCATCATATCTGTTTATAGATGAAGAAATCAGGGCCCAGAGAGGTAAAGTAACGTACCCGAGGCAACACAGTAATGTGCACTGCAAGCGGAGCCAGGTCTGTCTTAAATTCTTGACCTTGCCCATTTTATCCTGTGGCCTCCTAGGAGAGCTATGAGGTAAAATCTTTGGGGCTTGCTGAGTGGCTGTTGTGGAAGGTGTAGAAGAAGGAGGAAAGGAGACTTTAATTCTTCCAGATTATTGCTGGAGTGAGTGACTGCATTGATGGTGACAGCCTGAACCCAAACAGAAAGTTAAGTAAGTAGAAAAATAAGGTAAAGCACATTCAGTTTGATTATTTTTCAAACATTCAGTTTACCCACACTTTTTTTCTTTTTTAAGAAAAATTAAGCATTCTTTACCTATATGTTTTCTTTTTAACAAATAATGCAAAAATATGTATGTATGTCTAATCCTTTGTTTTGGCCTGTATTTATTTTCCTTGTTAGAAAGTTACATATAGCCTTTTCTCACTTGTAAACACAGATGTAAAAGTCAGAAATTAAAATATATTATGACTAAGAAGGAGTTTTATCAGGAGTGAAAGATTGGTTGAAAACATGGAAAATTTATCATTGTACATAACTTGCAAAATCTATAAAGAAGAAGGAAATTGTGCTATCTCGAGAGATGCCAGAAAGAAGCATATGATGATGTGCAACCCAGTGTGTGAATAACAATAGAACAGAATCTCCCTAACCTGATGAAGGTTACCCACAGGAAACATACTAATGGAGAAGTGCTTAGGCAAACCTATGAGATGAATGGGACGGGGTTGTGGGGCGGGGGACCACTATTACCAGTGTGATTCAGAATGGTTCTGCCTCATACTGCAGCCAGTACAGTAAGAAAAGTAGTGAGAATCACAGGTGTTGGAAAGGAGGAGACAAAACATTTATTGCAGGTAATATGATTGCAAGAGAATCAACTGACAAGTTATGAGAACTAACAGGAGACTTTGAGTGCTTAATAATGAACTTAAAGTGTGCACAAAAGCTATAAGACTGTTAACTAGAAGATATGAGACCTAAGTAGAGAGATAGTTATACGTTCATAGGTGGAAGCTTTGGTGTGTAGTAAAGATGTTGACTTATACCTAATCTGTAATCTAGTGCAGCCTCAGTATTTATATTGGGATTTGGCAAATTAATTTTAAGGTTCATTTGGAAAAGCAAATGTATAAGAATAGCCAAGATCAGTTTGGAAAAACGAGGAGGGAGGATTGCCTACCCCATGTCAAAATATATTGTAAAACTGTAGTAATTAAAACAGCTTGGTTGTGATACAACAAACCAAAAAATCAATGAAGAGAAACTGACTAATGTCTATGGAAACTTAGTATATAATAACAGTATTTATAGTCAGTGGAAAAAAGATGGATATTTAGCCCCTGCCTAGGCCTTAAAAAAATGATTAAGGACCTTATTTCCTACCATTCACTGAAATTTCAGATGGACTAAATAAACATGAAAAAAGAAATGAACTTATTAGAAAAAAAAAGATTATTTTTATGACCTCGGGGTAAGGATGGCTTTAAAACACAAAATGTGCAAATGCTATCATTTGCTGAATTTGGTGTATTGGTATGAAAAACTAGATTCTCCCCCCACCCCCTGCCAATATAAACAGATTGAAAGACAAAGACTGGGAAAAGCTACTTGCACATATAAGGTAGACAGAGGATTAGTTTCCAGAATATATGAAGAACTCTTATAAAAATCAATGAGAAAAGGACAAATCTGCAACAGAAAAATGGACACATTTCGTAAAGAAGAAATTTGTGAAAATGGAAACATATGGCTTATAAAAATTTGAAAAGACACACATCCTGTGATTCAAGGAAATTAAAACAGCAGAGAGTCATTTTTATTCGTCAAGTTGGCAAAAAGTTAAAGGTTTTGTTAGCAAGCATTGACAGTGATGTGTGCCTACACTGGGAGTGTAAATTCATGTGCAGCCACTTAGTCAAGCAGTTTGGTGTGCTGTCTGCTAAAATAACAAATGCGTGTCTTCTCTTGACCTAGCAGTTACACTTCTTAAAATGAATCTCAAGGAAACCCTCTAATGCCTGCAGAAGAAGGCATTTATAAGAGAATTGACTGCAGAATTATTTTTAGCAGAAAAACACTAAATGCTGTTAGTAGAGAGTAGCTAAGTGACATTTGGTATATCTATATTTTGTGTTGCTACTTAATCTAAAACAATGAGGGACATTCATATTACTTAGTGACATGGGATAATCTTTGAGACATCTTGATGGGTGAAATTGCAGAGGGTATCTGCAATTCTGATGCAAACTGATGTCATTTGTTTAAAAAAGGCAGAATATGATAATATATATAATGTTATGTATACGTGTGTATGTGTGAACACACATACTGTATACACATATGTACATGTACACAAAAGAACATACACCAAACTGATAACATTGATTACCCCTGGTTAGGGGCCTAGGATTGGGAGGTGAAAGTGGTAAAAGGCTTCATCTGTAATATTTAAGGAGAATGTATCTGTGTTAAGAATTAGTAAAAACTAGTGCATGTATAGAAATTAAAAGAAGCAGGAAAAGAACCCATCGGGCAATTGCTATTAATATTTTGGCATAGTCCACCTAGGTTATTTTTTCTATGTATTTTTTTAATATTTCTGATCTTTTTGATGTGTTTTGAGTTATACAAGTAATACGTGCTTGTTAAAAACAACTCTAGAGGACTTTCCTTGTGGTCCAGTGGTTATGAGTCCAGCTTGTAATGCAGGGGACGTGGGTTCCATCCCTGGTGAAGGAACTTACGTTTCATGTGCCACGGAGCAGCCAAGCCTGTGAGCTGCAGATAGTGAGCCCGTGCACTATGATGTTCAAGCGCCACAACTAGGGAGTCTGTGAACAACCATGAAAGATCCCAAAAGTCGCGACAAAGACTCAACGCAGCCTAAGTAAATAACTAAAAACAGCTCTAAGGTGAAATAAAATGCCCTTCAGTGGTCTCTTTTTTGCATGACTTGGTGTTCAAACTTTAGTTTCTTTTTTCTGCACATATATCAGTTTTTAAGTGTGCATTTTAAAGCGTTATCATTTGAATATTTTAAAATATTTTCTTATATAGAGAAGTCTCATTTTCTTTCTTTTCTAAAACTTTTTATTTCTGGCTGTGCTGGGTCTTCGTGCCGTGTGCGGGCTTTTTCTCTAGTTGCAGCGAGTGCGGACTGCTCTCTAGTTGTGCTGCTCAGGCTTCTCTTGTGAAGCACAGACTCTGGGGCGAGCAGGCTTCAGCATTTGCAGTACTTGGGCTCAGTAGTTCTGGCTCACAAGTCTACTTTGCTATGAGGCATGTGGAATCTTCCCAGACCAGGGGTCACCCTGGTGTCCC